GCTGCCATGGGGCAGGAACATCTGCTTGGTGCCTGGACCCATAAGGCCTGGAGTGGCCGGGGGCATTCTGGGACCCCAGCTGCTCAGGGCCTATGTGTGGGCCTAAAGGCTAGGAGTGGCCTGGGTCCTGAGGATGTTCCTGGGACCCAGGCTTCTTGGTGCCTGCATATGCAAATTAACCTGCCATCTTTGTCGGGTTGATTTGCATACTCTCCTGATTGGCTGGTGACCATAGCAGAGGGACAGTCAATTTACATGTTTCTCTTTTATTATATAGGATATCATGAATATCTGTGAGTTCACCACCTAACTCAGGAATGAGAATAAAATAAATAGTAACTAGAAACAAGGCTATTATTGTTATTAGAATGTAATACATCAGCTAAGAAATAAATTATTAGAATGTAAAATATTAACCAGAAACTCATTATTAATAAATATGGTTATACTTCATAAGTGTAAGTAAATTAACTTACCGTCACATAATAAATCCATGTGAGCTCACTACCTAACTCATTCACTTAAATGCTATCAGTACCTTTCCATCCACTTGGATGCTCTACTATCCCTGCCCCACCCATATCACCTCTAGGTGAACACTATCCTAAATTTTGTGCTCCTTATTTCTTTTCTATTTTAGAAAAGTTTTATCACATGTGTGTGCAGGCCTCAACAATGTATTGTTTGGTCTCAGCTATTTTTGAACTTCTTGCAAAGTGCAGCCTGCTTATGCGGTCCCTCTTCATCAACCCCCAACCGTGCTCCCATCTCAGCAGCAGCTGACACTGGGGAGCCCACTCCAGAACACACTGAGTCTTGTGCAGTTTGAAAACAATCCCCATTAATGGCCTGCCACCTCCTCTCTGCAGTTCCAGGCAGGAGCCCTAATGGGCACAGGTGCCCAGGTTTCCAGGCTGTGCTAGCCAACAGGCCTAGCTGTCCCATTCACCGCTTTGGCACATCCTAGGCAGGTACAGGGAGGAAAATGGACCTGGGGCCCCCGTGGCTGCTGTGTAGTATATAGAAGAGCAGTAGGCTGAGTATGAGCAAGCCTGGATTTGAGTCCTGGTATTCCCAGGATTCAGCAAAGTAGGATGATCAGGCGCTGAAAGTGACATTGGGCAAGTTAGTCTCTGGGTCTTGGATTTGTTATGTGTGAAATCACACCATTGGACCTCAGTGGCCTGGCAGCCCTTTTTAGTTTTGCTGTCCTTTGACACTGAGTCATTTTCTCAGGTCAAGGAGCTTCTTGGTGCATAGTCTTTAATTCTTCAGAGAGCTTGTGAACCCCCTAGGGCAGTGGTTCTCAACCTGTGGGTCACGACCCCTTTGGGGGCCTAATGACCCTTTCACAGGGGTTGCCTAAGACCATCGGATATATAATTACATATTGTTTTTGTGATTAATCACTATGCTTTAATTATGTTCAATTTGTAACAATGAAATTGGGGGTCCACAACATGAGGAACTGTATTTAAGGTCGCGGCATTAGGAAGGTTGAGAACCACTGCCCTAGAGCATATCATTACAAATTTACAGATGGAAAGAGCATTAGATTCCACTTAACTATTGGGAAGTGAAACAGAAAGCAGGATTCCACTTGTTTTCCAAAAGCACCAGGAATAATCTTGTGAACCCCCTGCTGTTTGCTCCCATGGTCCCTGTGGTCACAACTAATGCCAGACTTGTCTTCTCACTTAGGGGATAGGATATAAAGGGGGTAAGGCTGTATTGGTTGCTGCTCCCCAAATTTAGGACCATAACTGGCACATCAGAGGCATCTTGAATAGATGTGTGTTGAATGAATCAATGCATGCATGCATGCATATACACTTGGAATCCTACAGGCACTATTGGTCACAATCACTTCAAAATACAAAACACAAGCTGTCTGTAATCCAGAACCCAGAGAGACTATGAGGGGAGAGGCCTCAGGGAGGGAGAAAAGGGGTCCAGATATTGAGTATGAAGGCATCTTCATAACAGGGAAAGCTGAAGGCAGAGGAGAAGAAAAGACTTTCTCGCTGACAGGAACTCCAGGTGTCCTGCACAGCCTGGTGGTGAGTGCTCGCTCTCTTGCACCGCAACTTCCTGGATGCTTCCCCAGGACACTCTAGAATCTAGAATTGAGAAGCCCACACTTGCAGCCCAGAGCCATAGTTTATGGATAAGTAAAATGATATATCACTTTCCATAATTATGAAATAGCCACCTAATGCTTAATAACACCTTAACATAGGCTGACTATGTTATAGGTTGGGTGATCATATAATTTATCTTTCAATTAAGGAAATCTTTGAGAGTGAGAGAGAGAGAGCTAGTAATAATTATACCAGGAAAACAGAAGTAAACTGTGCACAACAGGTTTGGTCATTCTTAGTGTATCTTTTCCCTGTTCTCATCCCATCTAATCCTCACAGAGTCCCATGGTCTGGAGGTGTAGAAAATGAGCCCCAGGGTCATGTGCAAATATGTGGCAAAGTGGAAGCTGGAAACTGGGTCTGTTGTGCCCACTTCATAGTCCTTCCCACTGACACCCATCCAAAAGGTGTTATCAGATGTGAACCATTAGGTTTGCTCAGCGATTTCAGCCATGGCTGTTCATCTGCATCACCTGGGGGAGATTTTTCAGTCTTGGCAAACCTGCTCCCTTCTCACCCCCAGAAATACTGAATTCAAAACCCTAGTAGAGTAAAAACAGTTGACTTTTAATAAGTTTCTTCTGGACATATTGTTGGAGGATCAGGACTGAGAAGACTGGTTTAATTAGTCTATAGCTTGTGAACCCATCATGGAAATGAGACCTTGGGGAAGTTCTTAACCTTTTGATGTTGATGTCAGGGGGAGAGATCACTTTCCTACAACCCAGTGTGGGCGTATTTTGGGGCTACCATCAGAGTCAGACTCCTAGGCTTGGTGACTGGCAAATTTGAGGCAGTGAAGTCTCTGGGATTCTCATGAAGCATCTGACGAAGTAAAAGAAAGAAGGTGCCTGAATCCTCTTGCCTGAAGGTCTATAAGAACTGGAGAGACACCTGTCTGAGCTGCTGTAGGTGGCAGTGAGGGGCGAGAATGCTGTCAGTCACACACTGCTCTTTGCCACACACACACTGAAGACTGTCTTTTGACAATTTATTTAGATGTAGTTGGCAGGGAAGATGCTGGGAGCAGGCACACTTCGTCTGTAGACAGCAGTACTAGTATAGTACTGCCTTAGACCAGAGGACAGGAAGGCTGGATGTGTTTGGGGATCCAGGATCAGAGAGTCACAGATTGCATGCCCATGATCCTCCTTCAAGCCATTCTAAATATTCAGGCTGCTCTTCCCCCTCTAGGACCTTGAGTTTGCATCGATTTCCCACATGCACACACTGAAGGCTACTCAAGTCTGAATCCAAACCACTGACATTTGATCAATCCAGTTCATTGCAAAGGGCAAAGAAAGACAAAGTCTTCATCACCATTCAAATAGTGCTTGAAAGATGTTAGAGGCCACCTGGTCTGACTTGGTGCATGGTAAATACCAAGTCAGTGGACCCCAGGTAGCTTGTAAGCTTGTGATACAGTTCTAATTCTTTATGGTGAATTGAAGTCTGCCTTTTAGTAATTTCCGCCGACTAACCTTTGTTCTGCCTCCAAGGTCACACATGAGTTTTTCCATGTGACAGCTTTTTGTAATGTTTAAAAGGCACTTATGTTCTCCCCCAAGTCTCCTTATCATTAACTTTGGTCCTAAGCAAAGAGGAAATCAGCATTAATGAGTCCTGTATCCTGGTGGGGAAGATAAGTGCCTGAAGGGCCAAGAGAAACTGACTATAAGATGGGATCTTCTATTGTTCTTAGGTTCAAAGCCCTCAGTGTAACTGAGCATCTATGGATACATTGAAACTTCATGGGATGTTTATCTAGTCTGGTTTTATATCAAATAAATCATTTGTTCAGTGCTTAAAGGCCTACTAAGTGAGGTGGTAAGCACTGAAGATATAACAGTGAGCAGGCCTGGCATGGTCCCTGACCTCATGGATTGCAGTCTTGGGGAGGATACATACAAGTGGGCAGAAAAGACATTTATGCTGCAACATGACAGGCTCAGTGTGCCCTAGTCCAAGTGGGCGGTCAGGCAGGGCTTCACAGAGGAAGTGACCTTGAAGGATGAGGGAGAGAGAGCATGGTGAGCAGGGAGCAGGGGGGAAGAGTGTTCCAGGGATGGCTGTTGCTGAGGAAGATGGCCCATTAGCTGTGCCTCTCATGGAGCTGTGGAATCTGTACTGTGCTGAGAGGGATGTGTGCAATTTAATGGCAAATACAGAGGAGGTGCAAGCATCAGCGTGACTTTGGATCATGCAGGAGGTGTGGGCTCTGGCCCAGCATTGGGGCTGTAGAAAGAGAATCATCCCTCATTTCTATTTGAGCCAGTTGGTCAGCACAGCTGAGACCCCTGGTGAGCCTGGGCCAAGGGTACTAATTTTGGTTCTAGGGCAGAGAAGCAGGAAGGGAAAGCTATTTGTAGGACTGGGCTGGCAATGGAAGTGGGGAAATTGGGTTAGCTGTGGAGTTTGCATAAATGATGTCATTTAAGGGGAAACAGGATGTCCTACTCTATGAATCTCTCCCCTACACTGTTGGAAAGTCTTCACTCTGTTGAACTAATGAAAACACACACACACACACACACACACACACACACACACACAGGCATTCTGAGATTCATTTTTGTTAGGAAGTTTAGTTGGTGAGAGGGTATCAGCTTGTTCTCTTATGATCCACAGCTAAGACCCGCAGCCCTGAGGGGTGGGGATCTGATGGAAGGAGGGGTCCCTGAGGCTGAGGAGGAGTTCTGGGGTGGGCTTGGAGCTGGCATGTGACCCAACAAGAGTGTTGTGTGGGCGTCAGAGTCCCAGAAGAAAGCCAGTGACTTGTAGGCAGGGTCCCAGCCTCAGCCTTTCTAGAGACGCCTTCTCTGACTGTTCCGTCCTACCTCCCTGTCCTTCGCCCCTCAGCCCCTGATGCCCCCTACACCCACTGGAAGCAGACCGTCTTCTACCTGGAAGATTGCCTCACTGTCCGGAGGGGGGAAGAGCTCTATGGGTCCATCTCCATGAAGCCAAATGCCAAAAATGTGGTGAGTGCTAAAATGGCCTCTGTGTGGGCAAGTGTCAGGGGGAAGGGACCACAGTGCTGGTCCCAGTGTCCACTCACCGAGGCAACTCAGCGCCTTGTGCACAATCAGGAAAGTTACCAGATGAAGCAGTCAGAAGTTGGGCTTGGATGTAACTAGGCATTACTGAAGGACTCCAGGGTTGGCCCCTAAAAGCTTGGGAATTTGAGACTTTTTCTAGCCCCTCCTTCCCCACCTGGACTCTCAGCCTGGAGCACAGCGTCTAGCTCTTCATAGAGAGGCTTTGAGAACAGAGGCTGTTGCCATGGGTTTCACCTCAGTTAGGACAAGCTGAGCCAGGAAATAAGTTTCTGGTGGCCCAGAAGAAGTTTTTGCATTTCTTTAGTGGGCCAACTGGGTTGGAGATGGCGTGATTCTCTCTGTTTGAGCCACCCTGGCTGCAGGCAATGCCTTGTGGGATATGCCACAGGAGACTCACCCATCCCACTCTCTATTCTCCCAGGATGAAATCAGAGGAAACAGTTTATATTATTACAGGAAGAATTTAGGTTAGGAATCAAAGAACTTCCTGTGAAGATAATGAGGCACCAGAATAGATTCCCGAGGGCTGTTGGTAGGAACTCCTTAGCTAGCAACCTTAGGAGCAGAGTAGCTACCTATCCATCCGCCTGTAGGGAGAGGCGTGGGGCTGGCACTTCCCTCCACACTGATGCTGCGACCCTTTGCTCCTTCTCTGCAGCGAGACCTCGATTTCACAGTAGACTTGGATTTCAAGGGACAGCTGTGTGAAACATCTGTATCTAATGACTACAAAATGCGTTAGCACACGTGGGAAGCTGCAGAGAGCGAGCGAGAAAAAACCCTCACCTCGATCTGCAGCACTGTGATGAGAATACTGTTTGCAGGACTACACACTCGAAAACCAGAGTTTTAAATTCTGCCTTGAAGATTGGGGAACTCGCCAGGGCTCAGGTGGCCCTGACACTGGACAGATGACCTCCAACTGCTCAGCTCTGCTCTGCTCTGTGAGCCCTTCACAATGTCTTTGCTGTCGCTGACCATGAGCGACCTCCAGTGCTGCGGCTGGGCCCGGGGACAGAAGTGCTCATGTATACCTATTGTCCTTTACTGTGACTCTCCGATCTCCAGGTTTTGCATGCTGCAGGTATCTAGGGCAGAGGCTTCACTAGAACCTGGAGGCTAGTGTCTTTGATAGAATAAGCCGGATTGTGTCTGTGCGGTGGTGTGTGCGTGCCTGCGCGCGGACAGCATATACAGTCGCTTATTTACCCACAACACTGTATATGCATGCATATACAACCACTGGGTGTACCCAAGTGTCCATCCAGGGCGTGTGTGCACGTGCGCGTGCGTAGAATATCTATTACTCCCAGAGGAGATTTTGTTGCTTTGGAATAGGACTTTGTTTTGTGATTAGCTCTCCCCTCCCCCACCCCTGACCAGATGTAAGCAGCTATGAAACATTCTCTGTACTAGCTTTGGTCTCCTTTTGACTAGACCGTGGCTCCAAATCCTGGAGCATAGTACCACACACTCTGTGGGAGCTCAATAAAGGCACATGAGAGTGAAGCAATGGGACGGCTGTGTTCCTGATGTTTTGAGGGGAAGAGGGTATGGGGGGGGGGGCGAAAGGCAAAGGCCGTGATGGAGCAAAAATGAAAGGGCAGCACCTGGAAGAGGGTATGCTTCAGGAAGGGAGGCTGCTGGGTAGAAGCAGCTGTGAAGTCAGGACTGGCTGAAAGGCACCTCCCGCAGACTCTCGGGGTGGGAGGAGGGTCCTGGAGCTGGAGTGGGGGACATGAGCTGACTGAGAATGCTCTAGAATGGGAGGCCACATGTGTCCTGGAGTTAAGCCAAGGTCGGGAGCAGGAAGCTGGGATGTGCTTGCTGCCGGGAGGGCTTGGGGAAAGCAGGAGATGGTGACTGAGCTTGTGGTTCTGAGTCACTGGAGAGAAACAGGGCAAGGTTTGAGGGGAAGGCCAGTAGGCAGCAAGGGACACTCCCTGTCTAGGGTGCTGAGAGTCTGCTGGGTGTGCTGGTGAGTGATCTTGTCCCTGCCCCTCACCCCTGGGCCAGTATCTGGCCTGACCTGGCAGCCTCCGCATCAGCAGGAGCCCACCCATCTTGAAGGGGGCCTTCCCTCTGAGCTCAAGCAAGATACTTGGTCCTCGAGGTGGCACGCAGTTTCCCACAACAGCTCCCTCCCACAGTGTGGTGGATAAATTTCCAGTCCTCCCAAAGTCTTCATCCTGCCACCTCTGGGACTCCAGTCCCATCACAGAGAGGCAGAACCAGGTGAGAGATGCCTGGGGCTGTGACTGTTACTTGAGGAAAAGGTGAGAGTGTCACCTGTGGACAGGGACCAGGCCTAGCTTCCCTGAATATTCAATTGCCAGAGAGGGGAGGGCCCACCTCTGGTTTTAGGGGCCAGCCACCTGGGGCTGTAGCACCACTGAAAGAAGGGGGCTGGGCCAAGTGAGTGTTTTCCACACCGTGTCTTGGGGGCTCTAGGGGTTGTGGGAGGTGCCAGGGGCAACCCCCCAACTTCAGAAAGAATCATTTTTCCTTTC